CGTCCTTGGGTTTGAAGAAGCGGAACCGGGGCGGCGGGGGATGCCATCCGTGTTCTGACGTTGGAAATGAATACCAGGGATGGGAGGCAAAGGCTGGGTACGGTGTAATTCATTGTGATCACGACGGCGTCCTTCTTTCTGTTTCTGTTCCTGTAGCCAAGCGGCATCAAGGGCAGTATAGAGATGCTGAAACGTCCAAGGGGGTATGGCAGCCAAGCTTTGTGTTAAGACACTCTTGGCCCACTCGACTCCAATTACGGCGTCGTGAAGATACTCCGTTTTATCTTGTTCCGATTGGTGCGTGGGAGGACCTTGTGGAGTATACTTTGTGATGGTTTCACGAAGTTCTTCCAAAGCTTCTGAAACAGGGATTCGTTTTGTCTCCATAATTCGCGAAAGTCGGAGGTTTTGGAGGAGTTTACGAACCCTATTTTGTCGCGTAAGACTATTAAACTCGTTAACCATGAGTGAAGCGGCTGTGTTAAAGTCTTGCGCGTTTCGGATAACGTGGGAGCGGTAGAATCGCTTAGCTTCTCCATCAAAGACGTTGTGAAAGAATCGAAGCATTTGCTCATTACTGAGGTGAAAATCTTCAGCACAATCACGATTGTTGCTGATTGCATCCTGAACGTCTTCCCCAATTTTTCCGGTATATCGGTCGTCCTTCTTGAATCGGGACGATATGTTGTGCGCAATCTTGGAGTTGGGCGGGTCATGGGACTGAGGGAAAGATTGCTGGCTTCCATGTGTAGAGCCGATGGAGGAGCTGGTGAGACTTTGGTTGGCAAGCATACGGTCTGCATTGTCCTCATAGATCATGTTAACTAGACCGTGAGAAATGCGGTTAGTAGAGGGGTGCGCGGTGTACGACAATCCCTTAACCACTAGGTAGTCTCGGATAAGTCGATATAAGACGGTGGGGCCTCGTAACATCTCCCTTGCGTATAGAACTTCTGGGGGAAGATCAGCACGAAGGTTACTAACACAAACATCTGAGGCAGGTTGTGGATCCGCCATAACATGGAGAGCTATCGTAGCCTTGATATCACATTGGATCATGGATCGGGGGTCATAGTTTGACAAAGCGTCTCGGATACAATTTAGACTAGCCATATTAAAAATTATTGCAAAATAATAACTAAAATGGATCCGGGCTAAACGCGAATGTTGACCTCGAAAAGCGTTCCTATAGTAACGTGGCGAGTGTACTACGTGTAAACGTGTGGTGTTTTGTACTCGTAGTAGTATTTCAGACGTGTGTACGTTCACTGGGGCGGGACGATTACTCGTATAACAGTACTAACACGTGTGTACGCGAACCGTGTGCGCGTGTACAATAGTAGTACCCGTGTATGCGTAGTCGGTATGAACACGTGGGGTAACACGTGGTTGCGTGTGTGCGCAGTGACACGTGGTTGCGTATGTGCGCAGTAACACGTGGTTGCGTATGCGCGCAGTAACACGTGGTTGCGTGTGCGCGCAGTTACACGTGGTTGCGTGCACACTGACAGCACGTGTGTGCGTGGCAGGTAGGCACACGTGGGTCCGTGGTGCGCCAAAAAATTTGCTCTAGTAACAAGTGTCCTTTTCAAAAACTTTGAAGTAAAGAAGTTAAGACAATTTCACGTGAGTCAAAAAAATTTAAACTCTAATTATTTGCAAGTAGTGCGCAATTTACGTATGGCACGATGGTGAATAGTGCCACCGTAATGAGCGTCAGCGTCGTGCCCGTTCGCAAATCGGCGGTCGCACAAGTGGCAGGTGAGTTTGCGGGTAGGGTGTTCTGCGACAGCTACTGCACGTCGGTGAGGCAGACCTGCCTCGTGAGAGCGGCGCTGGCGGTAGCTAGGAAAGCTTCGTGCGCACGGTTCGCAGCGGTAGACGAGGGGCCGTCGGCGCGGAGGATTAGCTCGCCGATTAGCGCGCTGCGTTGCAACGCGATATATATGTAACGCACGACCGGTGTCGAGGTCGAATCCAGGGTCTGTGGGCGCGGAGGTGTCCTCGTTCGAGGCTTCGGTAGCCTCGATGTCCACCAGACGAGGCGCCTTGAACAATGTAGAATGTGATGCGGTGGTTCCGCTGGGGGAGATCGCCGGGGTGACTGAAGGGCGGGGAAGAGTACTGGCCACGTGTTGTAGTTGTACTGCGGCGAAGGGCGTACTTGGCAGCGAGCGATTCTGCGGCGGTGATGTGGCGGCGGGGAGGGTAGATGGCGGCGAGCGAAACGGCGGCGAGGTTACGGTTGCCTTAATGTGAGCGGCGGCGGCGATGCGGCGTTCTCGTATAACATCGGGGTGATTGATAGGGCGCTTCAAACATGCCATAAACTACTGCGCTCTTGCGCCAGGCGTACAGTACGTAGTACTGTAGCCCAAATGCATAATGTTTACTGTAAAACTATACAGTAGTATGTACAGTTAACGTTAGGGACAAAGTAGATTCTTGAAAAAGAAATCTTGATTTCCAATTCGGCGGAGTCGATAAGGCGGCCTTATTAAGGATGCGCAAACGGCTTGAATCGACGGTGAAATAAGGCAGGTCTTATCAGCGGAGCGGGGCAGGACCAAATGAGGCGGTGGTCCCTCAAACTGATCAGTATCGGGAGACCGACCGGGTGGGGCGGTCCGGCGCTGTTGTTGGTATGACAAAAATGGGGCGGTGAGGGGAGCAGCAGACTATTGCCTCCCAACTGCGGAAGGGGACGGGTGAGCACGGTCGGGACAGTAGTTGTCGCGTTGTTGTTCAGATGGGTTCAATGTGCTGAGGTCGAAGACGAGTAGCGTCTTCAACCTGGCTTTATAGTCCTATTGACTCTACAAGAACAGTTGGCGCACTACCATAAAAGGGAGGTTGCGCCACTCATGAAATGTCTCTAAACTGTGACACCCTGAACAGGTGGAATTGTAAGTGGCACGTCGTTAAGGGACTCTATTGTTGATAGCTAAATGTAGCCTACATAGTTTAACCTGAATTGATAATGATAAGCTAATTAAAGTGACTACTCGTCTAGTCAATTACTTCGACAGTACCCCCTCTCCGCCCGGCTAGCGAGGAGAAGATGCACGAGGGTATTGCAAAGTAAAAGATTCGTCTTTCTTTGTACGGTGGGCGAAGAGACGCGCACCCCCTCTTCGCCGATCGCAACGCTCCTCCCTTGATTGTACAAGGGACGGCGAGCCGCCACGCGATAAGCGGGGTTTGCACGGCAATTTGAGATGCTACTAGGCCGGTCATCTAGATATAGATTTAGATTTAGTGTTGTGTTTTCGTAAAACACGTTGAATATTTATTGAAATTTTGAAGTAACACCATGTCGATTAAGGACAGTCGTTGCAGTTGATGCAGCCAACAGTTATGTTCTGTATGATCGACTCCCGCATTTGTATCCACAACCTCGAACAGGTTTTTGCGTAGTCCGTTCGCCCGGGGGTTGGAAAACGCACATCGTGGATTTTTTTTGAGACGTCAAGTGTATGAGGAGTTTCGCCAAACGGGAATCGGCGATTTTTTTAGGACAGAGTTATGATAATCACGCCTCCGTTTGTGATACAGGGGGGGTCGCTATATAGTGCCACTTTGAATAGTGCAACCCTCCGAATAGTGCTAGGTAAAGTGCTGTAGCACGCATTTATCATACTGCCACGTGGACAGATGGCAGGCAGTGCGCCGGCGGGTGGCCGTGTCATGGGCGCCACCATTTGTCGCCAAGCTGCCTGTCTGGAACATCGAATGTCTTCATTCCGACACCCCCTACCAATGTTTTGAGCTCTCCCTTCCAACAAACCAACTATGGCCGGCAAGGCGAAACGTGTTTTCAATCAATGTAGGATTGAAAGAGCGCGCGCGGGAGAAAGGCAATCAATCTTAAATGACTCCTTCGTACCCAATAGGGGAAGCCAATGTCTTCTTTAAGTGCAATATGGTATAGTGCTACCCTCCCAATAGTGCCAATTGGAAGCCCTTGTCACGGGGTAGCACTATTGGGTGTGGTCCACTGTATACCTCTTTGTAACAAAAGAGGTTACTGCATGGATGTTGGAGGTCTGCGGAAGTAGCAAAATAGTACACGTGCCATTGTACCTCCACTGGTCTCCTGAAATACTGTTCTGGAAGACTACCATGGCGGCTTTTGATACGAAGATTTCCAACATGACTGCGGAAAAAACAGCGTTGAGATGGAGACGGACAGATCCTTGCTCGATGTAGAGTGGTCTGCGGCTTAGTGGATTAGAGTTTCTCGGGTGCGATCTGTACAGCATGAAACCGCTGGGGAAATTCAATTCTAGAATTGGAGTGGCTGCGATGATGTGCTGTGCAAATTTGTGATTTGTTACATGTTCAGGTGCTGCTCCCAAAGGGTGGTGCCTGGGGGCCAATCTTGCGTTTGATACGACACAAAACGCCGTGTTGGCGTGCGTCGCAAAAAAGCACGAATCAATTTGCGACTTGTGATGTCATGAGTCTTCCATTGTTGTCCTATACGAACGGCACTCTTATTGGGAGGTTGCACTGTATGTGTAAACTTTAGTCGTGTAGTCGCATACAAAGCGCACCACACGACAAAGCGATAACAACATCAGCCGAGTTCTTCATATTTTATTGGTTCATCACTGAAGTATGGGAAGAAAATTTTAGGTATAAGCACACCAATAAGCCCCGGGTTTTGGACATTATTAAGAAGAGGCCCATCGTCAACAGTGACCGCCAGCTAGGTCGCAAGAGTAAATAAATCAGTACGAGAGCGCGGAAGCTACCGGACAACGAAGAGTTAGATTTTCAATCGACGCACTCATAGGTCTCCTCTGGCACCTACGGAAGCACAAGAAGACAACTATAAGTGTAAGCACATCAACGCGGGCGACATCCAAGAGGTGCATGAGGAGTTGTTTACCGGAGCGCCCTCGGAGAGACCCGACGCGCTACCTGTCGAAAGAAAGCCTGGGTAGCTAATCCCCCAGGACATCAACATAGTTGCCCTCAAGAAGCTTAACGCCAACATGAGTCTAGTAACAGTGAATCTAGACATCGACTTGATCGGTTCCGCTAGAGAACTGGTGAAGGTGAGCAAGGCAGGAGCCCTGGCAATTAAATCGATGAAGGCAAAGGTAGAGAACATGACTATATTAGAGTGGATCCGCAATGCTGCGCGAGAGGACGCCATTATCGTGTGGGCCCTAGAATATCAAGGGATACCAGACGCCATCTGGAAGCAGCTGGCAGGTGGAGTCGAAGAAGACAGCCTGAGTGCTGCTGGCGTTCTAAGCGCGCTCTACGACGTACAGCTTGCCTACATGATGGGTGTGGCAACGTTCCCTGGAACGGCCAAGCGGAGAGCCCATCTCGGAAACGTCATCGCGGCCGTACACCAAGCGCCGGCGAACTTGACGTATGAAGAGGTATTCCCGAGCGGCAGTATCGACGACCTGGGATATCTCGATCTGGAGTCCACGATCCCCAAAGGACAATGGATCACGTACGACGGAGACTTCAATTCAAAGCACACGGTCAATGGGAGGTTTAGCTATTCGGACGGGAAGTTTGCAATTAAGTTAAGCGGGGGTTGTGCCGTCCGGTACCACGCCGGGAGCTTACAAGTATATTGCCGGGACGACGACTTCGAGAAGTTAATTGGACCACGAACTCAATGGAGAACCCCGAACCAAGACCTGCTCGAAGCGGCCGCAATCAGGTGTGCTAGCTCAAAGGTCGAGTGGGATGCATTTATCCGGGCGAGATACATCACGGTCAACGTCATGGCGGTCGCCCCGGAGGATGACCTGGACAACGTGTTCTCGCCGATAAGCGGGCAGGAGTGGGCGTTCTTTTACAGGGAGCTCCATTGGTCAGTAACTGAGGCCGAGCGAGCCATCAGGTCCTCGGCGATGTTTGATTGCAGTCTAACGCAACGAGTGACTATGTCGAGGGCGGATCGCGACGCTGACATCTTACGTAAGAGATTGGTGCCCGTAGGACCTGGCAACGTATTGAAGTCTAGAAGACACGAGCTCTCGGAAGCAGACGATGAGAGGCACGTCATAGGCTACTCAGTCCGCGGACTACTTAACAGGATAATTAGTGGGATTGGAGAAGATGGCCCGGCCAGACTTATGCGAGTATTGGTGGGCACACTCCAGAGGTCACAAAAATGCACTCGCTTGGAAGCAGCAGAGGTGCGGTTAATATCGGCAATGAGGACCTTGCTGGGCTGTTCGGCTCCACAGGTCTACTCCAAATATTTCAGCAAGAGGAAGGTGTCATACCATATAGACACAGAGGGGGAGAGCTTCATCTACGTCCCTTCTAGTAATGTGCTGTACATGAGCTGCAACGCTATGAATGGAGAAGATTTAGTTGCAGACCCAATCCCAGGTGAGGGGATAGTGGCGTCAAAACCTGAATTGGTCGACAGCATCTTACTATCGCACATAGTCCCTTCAGGAGGAGGCGTGAAGCTAGACGACTCGGGGACTGACCTGCTACTAAAGGAGCTTAGAACTGACTTCAGAAACGCGATACGTTCCTGGCGATCGCTGGCCAAGGCCCGGATCCTCCCTCTGTGGAAGGACTATACAGGAAGGATCCAATTTTCCAGCGCTTTCGAGGTTATCTTCAACGGCTGTTCTAACCGCCATGTGGCTGAGCGGGCATTTATGATGTGGTTGAATAGGCTGGGCGCCATTCCGCACAAGGACTCAACGCATGCGTGCCTCGTAAGGCTAATGCGGGCAGAGAGAAAATCGCCAAGTTCCGGGTTCTTTGTTGTGTACGATAAGGGGCTGAGCACCCAGGGGCTGGATATGTATACGGAGGTTACACCGGACAGAGAATATTGGCGGGGCGATGGTATAGTGTGCGATCCCGTGAGCGATAAATGCTACAAGTTGGCGGAGACTGCAAGAGGACCTGGCTGGAAAGCGTGTGATATAGTATTTAAAGACGTGCGCTCTGCTCTCAGATTGGAAGGGAACAGGCTGGACAGGTCAGATGTATTGATAGGGGGGCAATGAAGGATATAGAATCAGAATGGTAGAAGCCGACCACAATCTTTGGCAGACGGAGGGATTAAGTCTGCATCTATCGGCAGGACGCGCGGGGTGGAGGATATCGCCAAGAGGGTGCTGAAGTACCATGAACCAGACTAGGGATGGACCTAGGTCCATATACCACACCGGATGCTGGAGTCGTGTAGCCGTGGACGGCCTTGTGATAGCAGAACAGATAGAGAACTTTTGAGTACCCGTTGGTTGTTGAACTGGCGTCGCGTCTGGGACGTGAACGGGAGGTAATTTGGGCAGCTAACCTTTTATCACTGGGGTTGATGGGATTCCTTGAGGCTCGCCTCGTAGGCTACAGTATAAGGTTTTAAGTCAAACACGAGTGGAAACACTGGAAGTGATTTTCCTGGAAAATCAGTCTGATTTTGTTGAGAAGCGATCCAATTGAAGCAGAGAGGGCGAGAAAAAAACAGTAAAAACGAACAGCAAGGCCCCAAACACACGTTGATGTCAACGTGAGGTGTCAACACCTCACACGCCCCTCTGGGCCACACTCTCTTCCCTCCATCTTTCCTCACCGCTGCCCATCGAGTGCTGTGCTGTACGTAAAGTTTACTGTACTGCCTGCCTACCTACAGTACATTGCATGTCCTTGTCAAATCACTTTCATACGCTTACATATAAGCATCCCCCTTCGTTTCACCCCGCCCTTCTTTGGTGCTCACTCCCTTACCCCGCCCAGAGAACCAACTCTTAACACCGTCGCCTACAGCCACCTCACTTGCATTGACTGTTGGCGACGCAGTCCATCCTGAATTACCCCCTGAATAACCGCTTCACTGCACTTTTGGAGGAGTTGCACCGCCTCCATCCCATTGCCACGTCCACGTCCACTATCGCTCGTCAACAAACCTTCGCATCGAAACAAACCGTCTACGCAAAGCCCTCTACGCAAAGCCCTCTACGCAAAGCCATGGCATCAGCTCCATCAATTGTCATCGGCATCGCCGGTGTGCACAGGAAGCTCTACAGTCGGCCCATGCGTGGAATTGTCAATTCGCTCAGGGTATGCAACCCGACCTTCACAATAGTCCTGTTGGACGAGTACGAAATGGAAGCACATCATGTGTCAGACTGGCCAGTTGTTCACGTTTTGTTGACTATGTACTCTCCCCCGTTCCCACTTGACAAGGTCCTGGCCTACTGTGACTTGCGCCGACCGGTCTTGGTGAACAACCTGCACATGCAGCCACACATGATGGACAGGAGGCAGATTCGAAATTTGCTGGATCAAGCTGGTGTTCCCACCCCTGACGCTGTCTTTGTGGACCGCGACGATGGCGATGTCGTTGAGCAGCGGGGCGAGAATGGGGACACCCTTGTCGTAAAGAACATCAAGAGAAAGAAAGAGTTTGCCATCAGTAAGCCTTTTGTAGAGAAGCCCGTCAACCCCGAGGATCACAGTATGTATCTTCTGCTGCGTTTCCCTTTTTATAGTGGCTTTGCGAATACGCATAAAGCGAATGTCTTCTCGCATGCGCATGTTTGTGTGCCACCCTTTAGCCGTCCATTTCTTCATCCTGTTTCGATGTCGCTGACTCTCAAATTTTGTGTGCGTTTTTTTTTTCTTTTCTGCGTTTTCTGCGTTTTCTGCGTTTTCCTTTTTTCCTTTTTTCTTAAAATCCGGTCCTATGCGGCCTTCCTTTACCCAACTCTTGGTCTCTATCGTGCGCTCCCGGCCCGGGTTAAACACCGTCCCTTCCGTTCCCCTTCCCCATCAGACGTGTACATCTACTACAAGGGAGGCGGCGTTCGCCAGCTATTTCGCAAGACGAAAAACGAGAGTTCCCGTCTAGATCCCAGCGAAAAGAAGGTGCGTACAACAGGCAGTTACGTCTACGAAGAATTCTACCAACCTGCAGAATGCGCAGACGTCAAAGTGTATGCCGTCGGCGACTTTTTCTACGCCCAATCCCGCAAGGCCCCCCACATTGACGGCGTTGTCGATCGCGATCCAACAGGCCGCGAGGTACGTGTGCCCGTCGTTCTTTCTGGTAGAGAGCTCGAAATCTGCCGCAAGGCCACCACGGCCTTTGACCAGTTTGTCCTGGGCTTTGACTTACTTCGCGGGCCGGGCGATAAGCGCTTTGTCATTGACGTCAATGGATGGAGCCTTGTCAAGAATTCTGATGAGTACGCCTCCCGGTGCGGTAAGGTTCTTGCTGAGCATATTGTTGCTTTACTGGAGAAGGGAGCGGATCTTCCAGACCCTAATATTCCCACCCACAACAGATCCTCTAGGCTGCAATCTGCTGCCCAGCAGCCCTCTTCCAAACAGACCTCCGAGCTCTTTGATCCCTCGCAGGAATCCACATGTGTTGCTTAACAAATATGTGACATCCGTTCGAAAGTGGCACAGCTTTTACACATAGAGTACATTCTGCTCGCTTATTCTTGGCAGCACATTTCACGTGCAGCAGGGTGATCTAGCTGGCAACAGATACATGACTGCGGGTCGAATAATGCGGAACAGAATCCACGTCATGAAGAAGCGAATCAACAAATTCGTCGCTGCGGCTTTACATTGCGTTTTACAAACCTTGTCTTGTTAGCACACGACTTGAGGGAACTGCCCTTTTCCCAAAGCTATGAACACTTCCAGAACTTCAGCTCTGCATCACACATAAACTTTGCATCCTTTCCACTTAGATCTTCAATCTTTCATCACAGGAAGGCTTTCGAGGCTTTGGCATATTTCAGTGGATCTTTTCACCTTCGGGAAGGGTAAGAACTCCTTCGCGGGCAGGAAAGAGGAAAGTAAGTTCCCTGGGATTCTGGCCTAACCCACTGAATAAACTAGGTCGATTGTCTCAAGTAAGCCCCATCTTTTCCGCTTCTTTCCGGAACGTCAATGCCTTCTTCACGATTACGGGATCTCTTTGAATAGCCGATGCTACTCGCTCATTATTCAGTAGCTCCATCACGCTTGCCGCAAATGTCCGGGAAAAGGGAGGAGAAATAATCTGTAGTAAACCGTTGATAAAGTGACGTAGATGGGCCAGGTCCACCCTTTTGTTGTTTGCCCAGCTCCCCTGAAACATGCGGACAATTTGCGGAGCCATTTGGATACGCACCAAACCCGTGATGGTCTTCGTAAACTTATCGCGCAACTTTTCCACTTCAATGACGTCAAGTTCCGGATAATCGCGCATGAATGCCTCTCTTATGATTTCAAGAACTTCCCCTTGCAATACTGGATGTTTCTCTGCAATGGCTTCCAGGAATGCAAGATGTGTTGGTGCGGTCACTAGCAGCTCCCGCAAGTTTGAACCTCCCTCAAGACCTTCCTTCGCCCACATCAACACTCCTCGCGCTATCAAAGGGCTCTTGGTCCCTTCAAGAAGAACCTGAACAGGTGGGCCACGGATTTTGAAGCGAGGACAGCCAGGTTTTAGGCTCTCGCACACTTCTGCCACTCTTCTGATCTCTGTAAAAGTAGTCTTCATTTCGTTTCGAAGCTTCTCCTTTGCCACCTCGTCTTCCAACATTGTTGGCAGTTCTTTGTCGTCTTTACAAATAAAGACTCCAGAATACGCCAGCAACATGCATAGACAGGTTCGTTTCGATATGTCGGGTTCGCCATCAAGGTAGGTACGGTACTTGTGGCTAAACAAAGCCTTCAGTATGTCTTCGAAAACTTCAACATGGCACAGCATTCTGATCAGAACAACTTTGTCCGCAACACTGCCCTGGAACTCCTGTACTGTTTCCACCACGTCGCTGTCAGCTTCCTTGATCTCTATATCGCCTATGAGGCATCCATAAACGCTCCTTAGAATCTTGGTCTCTGTTTCGAAGCGTCTCCGAATCGACCGGTCTGTGCCTCCGAAGAGGTTTAGAAGCGCATCAACAATAGCCTTGCGCATAGAGACGTTTGATTCGACGCAGTCTGTGATGAACGCGAGACGGATGACGTACTGTCTGGCCATATGCTCAGACATGATGTTGGCGGCCGTCATAACGCGGACAGCCTCCTTACGGACTTCCTGTCCGACTCGGCGATAAAGGCCGCGCATAAAGGGGGTATCTGCATCATGGGCTAGCTTGTTGAACATGCGTAAGGATACAATAGTGCTGCACTCGTCGTAAGTGCACAATGCGGATACGCGGTTGTACAAGCCAAGCAACTCGTCATCAGAGACCTGCTTATCCGGTGAAAATAGCTTCGTAAACTGCTCGGTGATAGCATCGACAAATGAAGCAGGTGTCTGCAGCACCTCTTGGTTGATACCTGCCTGAGACAGCCTACTCTCCCTTGTAAGAAGGTTGTGCAAGGTCGACTCCTTATTCCTGGCGGCCATACTGCACACGACAGGGTTCCATCTCTTGGACTCGGTAACAGTGGTGACAACGGGGAGAGATTTTTCCGTTGTAGCGAGAGCCTCGTCGAGGCGCGGGATAATGGTTTGCTCGTGCTCTAGCAGGACAGTCTCAACGGCCTGCTCCAGGTTTGCAGTGCCGTCGGCGTAGATATCGGACCACTCGACGAGGGCACGGATCATATCGGGGACACCCTCATAGCTTTCCATGAGACGCTCTGTGGCGTCGCGAGGGTCATCGTGGGTGTTGAGGAAGGTGGAGAGCTGGTGGTCAACGTCATCGGAAAGGATGGCGTCGAAGGCGTCGAAAGGGGATGGGGTTGTGCCTTCCATAGTGGCCTGTGTGTCTACCTGCGCGATGGCGGAGATTGAGGAGAAGAGCAGGGTGAGAGAGGCGTTTTTTGCCTTTGAGCTGGACACATGGACTACCGCGTGTTACTTGTAAGTGGGTGGCACGTTTGGGTCAGAGTGCGCATCGCTCTCTGCGTACCTCGTATGCACAGTCAAAGCACGTGCCCAAAACACGTCCTCTCAGGAAGCAAAGTGGAGGGGGAGTGGAAAGACGAAGAGGGAATGTGAAAGAGAGACGGATGGAGAAGAGGGGCGGGGGGGGGGATCAAATGACCTGATCTTGCAAGAATATCATTCAAATCGGGGTGAACGCGGTGTAAAATCCTGTACGGCTGCTTGGCTATGAGAGTGTGCTGTACCGTTGGTACTGTACATTGATGACGCTCATCGCTCAGTACAAGCGGCATTCCCTGTTGATCCGCCACATGTGCAACTTTCAAAATATATTAAAATATTTCACCGCTTTTTGCACCACCATCTGTAATGTAAACGCTTTACAGTAATTTAGGGTTGAAGCCGCATCCAGCAGACCGACGGCCGCGGCGATCAACTCATTCGCCACTACCTTTTCCCACCACCCGCCCTTGATATTTACCATTCCGAGAAGCCTACGTCGCTTCACTCTTTCTCACCCACTTTCCTCGTTGCATCTGGTGAGCACCCAGTCTCGCCGATCTCTCCGAAATGGTAAGTGACTGCGTTCCCAAGGAAACCGACTGATGGGATATTCCGGTTGTTCATTCCGTCGTCGCTTCTCACATGCGGCTAAGTCCCGTAATTGCAAAAGAGACACGCCACCGAGCGCGATCTTGCCCCTGATGCCGAAGCGAAGACTAACGTTTTCGCATCTTTCCGCCACTTCCCCCTCGCGTCCCGCGCACCCATCTACTTTTGGAATTAACCTCCACAGACGAAGGGAACCTCCAGTTATGGAAAGCGCACCAGCAAGACGCACACGCTCTGCGTGCGTTGCGGTCGCCGCTCGTACCACATTCAGAAGAAGACGTGCGCGTCATGCGGTTACCCTAGTGCCCGGAAGCGTACCTACAACTGGTCAAATAAGTCAAAGAGGAGACGCACCACCGGGACCGGTCGCCTTCGCCACTTGCGTGACATGCCCCGCCGCTTCAAGAACGGTTTCCGTGAGGGGACTGTTGCTGTCAAAAGCACACCTGCACCCGTCTCCTAAACGCCATACGGAGGCAGTCGGCCTTGGCAGTTGGGGACTTTTGCGGTCGGATGTATTGCAAGTGAACATGTAAAGGCTGCTTGCGAATCTCTCCACAATTATTTCGTGCAAATTGCTAGCTTTTAGTTGGTGCGCAGTTACATTGAGTTGACCGTCAAGGCACGCCGAGTCTTATTACAGAGGTTCAAATAGAAACGACGCAGCGAGTCCCGTTCGCTTTTTATCTGAAGTGTTCCTACTAGAACTCTCCAGCGATTTGCTACGCCTTCGCTTCTTCGACGTTTTGCTCTTATTCTCAACGGGCGTCGTAGCAATCGACGGTTCTTTCTGCAATTCCTTTCCGTCCTCCTTTCTCTTCTTCCTCTTTGTCTGCTTCCTGCGTAGTTGGTGGATATCATCTTGACAGTCCGGTACCACCCGCATCCCCCGCGGCACCCCCTCGTTCTTATTCACCTTGTCGCAAGCTGGGCATGTCCTCAGCACGCGATTCCGATCCTTAGAACGCGCCTTCGTCTTTCGCAACCGCACTTTTGCAGTTTGCATCAATGCCCCGCATCCTGTGCAATGCATCCTCTGCGCGAATGCGGACATGCCGTCCTCAGGGACTGTCTGCACGAGCCTGCTGGCGAGATGACGCGAAATAGTAGGAGTCTTCGCCACGAGTTCGTTGGAAGCATGCCACAGGAAGCTGTGCGTGGCAGACTCGATTTCGTCGAGTTTGAGCAATCGCCGCTGTGCCATGGAGGCGGCTACCAGGCATAGGCGTCTACGCTGACAAGGAGGATGAGCCTTTCACAGCGGCATCTTCGTTGAACCCGCTGTATGGGTCGCGGCTTGCCCAAACCTTGGATAAGAGCCAATCCGAAAGCGAGGCAATGGCGAGGACTCACAAAAGAGCAAATTTTTTGATGAATGAAAACCCCACGCAAACTTGATCTCGCCCTCTCCTTCGTTCCTTGCGTCCCATGCCACTCACAACTCCTGCCTTCATGTCCTGAGAGTTCCCCTGAGTTTCTGCTTCTGATAGAGGAATAGGGGAGTTCTGGACGAGATGCCGTCAGTGTCTGGTTTTATTTCCAGTGTCCCTGTCATCTCGGGCAAGTTGGGACTGTCCAAACGATTAAGGGCGACCTCATTCTATTTTACGCGAAGGCCGCGTCTTCCGGCTGCACCATCCACACCTTCGCAAAGAACGATTATCTCTGCAAATTCTCTGGAAGAATCCAAGCGACGGGCAAGATCACAGTATGACAATATTCCAGACCTGAACCAGCGGTACATTTCCGAACTGGGGTGGGTGGAACGAAAGTACGGCCCCAAGCGGCTTAAGAAGAAAATCATCAAAGAAGCTCAACAGTCAATTCTTCGCCCAGATGGGCCGTCTGCCCCCTCAGCATCGCGTACCACTAAAATAGAAGAACCCGGCTCAGATGGCAACGGGGAAGCCGATTTAGAGCAGTACAACAGGATTCGCAGTGAACTTCTCGTCAACACAATATTTGTGGGCATGCTTGGTTTTTGCGTCGCATGGGGCTTCGGAACTGTCAAGGAAGTGCAATCGTTTATGATGGGGCTGGTGGGTTCGATGGCGTACGTGTATCTGTTGTCAAGAAGCGTGGACCGGATGGCTACGGCAGCTCGGGAGACCGGAACGATGAGCGGGGACGCGTTGCAACCTGCGCGCTTGGCGATTTTGGTGCTGTTGGTGATCGCTTCGGCGAAGAACAGCGATAAATTGTCTGTGCTGCCGGTTTTGTTCGGGTTCTTTACGTACAAAGTAGCGACGTTACTTCCGTTGCTTACAGGCGAAGCTTTTGAGTAGCGCGGACGCGGGTGCACCAGCGAGGAATGTTTTTGGGTTTAGAATTGAAAGTAAGTCTATGTACGGTAGTATTGAAAAGATGTGTATTGAGCAAAGTAAACGCTGATTTATGTTGAGACATCGTCCACAATTGCCGGAGCAATCTTTGTTCGGCACAGTGCGCTGCATTGGATGGCCAAAGCCAACCTTCTCAGCCTAAGACAGCACGCACAGCGCTGCAACTTGGCTGCAACAAATATTCATTCCTTCGGAAAACACCTGCCACCTTCCGTCGGCACGGCAGTAGGCAAGTCTCCATACTTGTACGACGTATACCCCGCAATAGCGATCCCCCCTACGGCGAGCAAGAATGCGACTCCCTCTGCGGCGCCGAGGAGATTCGCAGGCCCGTTCGGAAGCCCGTTCCCCGTCTTCACTTTTGAATACACGCTAGCCAGCACGATTGCAGCAACGACGAGGTATGATACGCCCTCCGCCGCGCCGAGGAGGCCGCTAGGGCCGGGGGGAAGACCGCAGCCGGTGGTGAGGAGGACATACTCGGAGTAGGCGACGATGGGAAGCGCTGGAAGAGCGAGTGCCACGGCGACTTTCTGTTGGGGAGGGGAGAGGATTGCTGTGGTTTGGCACGATGTACGATGGGGTGGAAGGGTACGGAGCCGGGAGGAGAGCCGTAGACGCGAGTGGGAGGCGGAGAGGGGGACCGAAGGCGCGAACAGGAGGGTAGACGGGAGCATTGCGGATGTGGTGCACGGGACGTCGGGCGGAGCACTTTGATGGGAGATTATGACCCAGATTTGCATATTTGTTATCGCTGCAGCCATTGCCCATTGATTGGTTCCTTCTTGATGGGGGAATAGGCTCAGCCGTTTGAGATAATGTAGATCCTCCGCTTGGTTGCCGAGTTTCCAGTAGAAACCCCGATATTACTAATATTGCCTCTGTTGAAGTCTTTCCCGTAAACCTTCAAAGAGAGGACGGACACTTGTGGTTGCAGGTGACGCAAAACATCTCTTCAGGCCTCTCTCTTGAGGGGCGATGCACGCGTGACCACGCTGTCGTCGTTGGACTCGACGAAAAGAAAACCGGCGCCTCCAACACCTAGCCACTCCATGTTCTTGGGTATCGGGCACATTGACGCAGCCGACGTCGCCAGATAAGATCGGATAATGCAAGTGAGGCGAGGAGAGTTGCGCGTCGTGGGAGAAGTTTGCAGTGAGTGCAAAGAGAGGGAAACAGCGCGAAAAAGGGGAAGAACACCGAGTGAAAAAGCACCGCAGCGTCTATCTGGAGGTCTCAGTCGTTGAGCCCACCAAGTTTAGCCATAGCCGGAATATATGCTGCAGAGACATGGCAACGTTTTCTTGACGAGAGTATCGAATTGGCTCTGATCGACGGGGGCAGATCTGTCGAAAGAAACACACTCTACACCTAACTGTTACAGTATTGTGGACAAGAACCTGGTTTTTCGAAAACATCAATCTGTTGAGGTCTGGGGGCATTCAGTTCGATTTTCCGCGAAAGCATGTACTGAACAAATTCTTCCGCTGGTCACCACATGGTTCGGCAGTGGTACAATGTGCGATCAACCCCGAGTGCTTTTGCATCCCAGGTGGTAGTAAGGAGGATGATCATGAGTTTCATTTCATCGTCACGCACACGGCACAGAGGCACGTCTTGGAGTTCCTCAGTATTGACGGCAAAGCCCGACTTCCGTTTCTACAACCCTCAATAGACATCATCTACACATGGGAAACATGTTACAATGAATTTGGAATCTCGAGTATAAGGTCTCATTGGAGCTTACTGTCGTGTCGTTTGACCTATTTACAACAGAGAAGATGACGATGGCAAGCAGGAAGTTTTCTTAGAGTTGAATACGCGGGATGAGAATCCTGATCTGATAGATGGGACGAGATGAGTCCGAGCCGTGACATTAACAAGATCACTTGGGTCGATGACACATCATTCGGGAGCACAGTAGAAGTATTACGCTGCTTCTAGTGTATATTAACACTGTACATGCTTCAGCTGCGGGAAAGCGTTTACCTTGGTGGTTTCCCAGTTGGATCATGCATTCGGAAGACTGGGTACGGCCTGAGCTGGGCAAGCGTGGAATGGAGATGGAGACTCCCTCCAGTATGTCGTGTTCTCGTTGCGATCTCTTGTGATTCAGTGTGCAGTGAGAGGAATGTCAAGCGCAACAACGAGCGATAGTGGAGAGGGGCACGTAGAGATGGTTTACGTAAAAGTGGCAGGACTGCCTTTAAACCCTAATCCCCTGATCCGACGAAGCCCGAGTGACATGTGAAATATCAACGTTTGCCGGCGTCGCTGTCCCTCAAGTCCTTCGCAGTGAGCGAGGATTCGAGTACTTTTATTCAACGGATACTGGCACATCGGAAGTCGAAGCAAGACTCGATGTTCTCTCTAGAACTATTGCAGAGTTACAGATTGAGTCGTTGGAGCATTTGGACGATTTTCGAAGTGCTGGGTTGAGGGACTTCAGTTTGCAGTGGCTTCTGGGAAACATTCGTGTGATACTGACAAATTGCCCGCTTGAAGCTTGCGAAGAGGAATCGCTCCTATCGCTCCTAATTTTTGTACGCGGAGAGATCTCCGCAATAGAAGACGTGTGCAGACAGCTTCTTGGGTAGGCCTCCCCGCCACTCTCGTCCATGGTGATCTTCACGTCGGGAACATGGGCAGTCTCGCGCCCACACCTGATCAAAAGTACAAGATCTACGACTGGGGATCAGCAGTTATCGGAAACCCTTTTTTTTCTTTTACTTAGCTGCAATCTGTAACGAAGCCGCCGAGCATGGTATCGAAACGGATAGCTTGATCAGTACTTTCAGTTCGTTTACTGTATAGGCGTTGGGATTCTTTGCCAAAGCGAGAGAGTGTGAGGTGTGCTGTAAAGCAAGCAAGAATTCTCTGCTGGACAATTGATGTGCATGTGAGCATAGAAGCTCATGACCAAGTGGAGGAGATGTTGATATACGGAAGGTCAGGGACGGTCTGATTGGAAGCCTCCGCGGTTTGGGATACACGCTTGGTGGTTGATGACAGTTTTGTGCGGGTGTGCGCCTGGATAGTTTCAGTACACTAGTATCATTGTACACATACTGCAAAGAAATTGTCTTCATTATTAGTAGAGCTCGTGTTGTGCGAGGGATGAAAAAAAAGGTTGAAGTGTAGTGCACATATATGTAATGAACGTCACGATATAGTGTCGTGCCCACAAGATCTGTGATCAGAACAAGATATGATAAAAAACGCTGCCACAGCATTGCCAACAGCAATGCAACTCTATACGGCAACGAATGCTGTGCAACTTTGAAAAGGTGTGCTCCACAACGCGCCCGTCCATTCTTATCAAATGGAACGGATACAAATGGTACCCTTCTCAAGACACTTCTGCATTTGAAGGGCATCAGCCTCACGTACTGGATGCTGCGGAATTGCTGTTTGATATTTTTATAGAGAGCTTTACACAACCACTGTAGCTCGTTGCTGGCTGAAGGCTAAAGATATGCCTTGCACGCTGGAGGGGGAACCAAGAAATAGGGCTGAAAAGAACAAGAATGTGCCACTCGCATATTTTGGTCAGCTCGTGAAAGAGATTTCTGATATATCTCTTCACACCACAAAGAATTTGAGGGTTGATGAAATTTGCAAGTCGAAATCAGTTGATCAGAGAGGGGAATGGTATGAATTTTTAGAGACCTAGATATGGCCATGGCTGAGAAGTGAGCCACGGTAGAGGAACTGCATGACGTTCGAGACGTGATTGAGCTCAAAGCTTTCGAGGACCTACTGTAGACGCTCTCCTGGATGCTATTCCGATCAAAGAGGTAGGGAGGAACGTTGCATAGGAAGAGGGTGATGCGGGATGTCGAAATGGAGTAACTTCATTTGAAGACAGGGCGGTTTCCTAGCATTAATGTACCAACCTTACATGGGGGGATGTCGTTATGTGTGCACCAATCTTCTTAAGAAATGTTGCTACGTGTTTCTGTACGCTGGAGGAGATTTCGACGTCCCTGAACACTGTCGATGCTGCTTACTATAAAGAAAAGAAAAGCACCTGATGTTGCGTGCTTCTCTACCTAGCTGAAAACGCACAAGAGACGGCAGTGATATTTTTTTGAGAGTAAACACCACCGTCTCACAGCGTGCCCATTCGGGTGCAGTGCTCGTCAATATCGCTGACGGGTATGGGCACTACAGTATACGGGAGTAGTCACTGTACAGTTCCAGTGTTATATCCCTAGTATTGCTATGGTTCCATATATGGAACCATAACAGGTTTTCAAATAAACAACAAAAGCCCTATGGTTCCATATATGGAACCATAGAGCTGGATAAATCCTGACTTGGCAGACCGATAGCGCTGTATACGCACATACATTTTCCTTTTCTGAACCCTCCAGCCTGTAGCTGACAGTAAGATGAGCTGCCGGAATGTTCAATTTTTCGTGTTGGCAAAGTAAAGCTTGATCTGCACCTCGCAAGGTGTCAAAGTCCATATCAAAACAACCTGAGATGACTACCATCCTTCCCGATCACCACCACACCCCGTCAAGCAGTGTAGAGCGCACGAGAGGGCGCGGGACGAGGGTTAGAGGCCGAGGGCGTGGAAGTGGGCGTGATCCAGGCGGTCGCGGTCGCGGTCGTGGTCGTGGTGGAACAAGAAGATCTTTTCAAGATGGTCGGGATCCGACTAGAGGGTGGCGCCTTTCTACAATCGCAACGGAGCTCTTAATATATTCCCAATCCTTGGAAACAGCGGATGCCGTATGTGGAGAAGAAATAGATAATGTATCGGACACTGAAGTGAGAAAACTGTGTACTCTCGCGGCAAGGAGAAAACAGAAGCGCTTTCTGTTTTTAACGGAGCAGATGAGAAGCGATTGCGACTCAGCATCAAGAATCATGTTGTGAAACAGCAAAAAGATCAACAGTATTGCGCATTATGCGGAATAAGGGGAATTGAGGGCAATGATTCAAGGTGGAGGTGACACAGAACGACGTACAAATGCGTTCAGTGCGATGTGTTTGTATGTACAAGAATCTATCCCGGAAATCGCAAGAGCTGCTGCGAACTCTGGCACGC